AGGGCATTATCTAATGGTAAATGGATCAATGCAACAAGAAGAGCTAACTATCCTAAATATATATGCACCCAATACAGGAGCACCCAGATTCATAAAGCAAGTTCTTAGAGACCTACAAAGAGACTTAGACGTCCACACAATAATAGTGGGAGATTTTAACACTCCACTGTCAATATTAGACAAATCAATGGGACAGAAAATTAACAAGGATATTCAGGACTTGAACTCAAGCCAACCTAACTCTCCATTCTACATCAACAGAACTCTCCATCCCACATCAACAGAATATACATGCTTCTCAGTACTATATCGCACTTATTCTAAAATTGACCACATAAATGGAAGTAAAGCACTCCTCAGCAAATGCAAAAGAACGGAAATCATAACAAACAGTCTCCCCGACCACAGTACAGTCAAATTAGAACTCAGGAGTAAGAAACTCACTCAAAACCACTCAACTACACGGAAACTGAACAACCTGCTCCTGAATGACTATTGGGTAAATAACGAAATGAAGGCAGAAATAAATAAGTTCTTTGTAACCAATGAGAACAAAGACACAATGTACCAGAATCTCTGGGACACAGCCAAAGCAGTGTTTAGAGAAAAATCTATAGCACTAAATGCCCACAGGAGAAAGCGGGAAAGATCTAAAATTGACAACCTAATATCACAATTAAAAGAATTAGAGAAGCAAGAGCAAACAAATTCAAAAGCTAGCAGAAGACAAGAAATAACTAAGATCAGAACATAACTGAAGGAGATAGAGACAGGAAAAATCCTTCAAAAAATCAATGAATCCAGGAGTTGGTTTTTCTGAAAAGATTAACAAAATAGATAGACCACTAGCCAGACTAATAAGGAAAAAAAGAAAGAAGAAGAAAATAGACACAATCAAATATGATAGAGGCAATATCACCACTGATTCCACAGAAATACAAACTACCATCAGAGAATACTATAAACACCTCTACACAAATAGAAGCAATGGATAAATTTCTTGACACATACACCCTCCCAAGACTAAACCAGGAGGAAGTCGAGTCCCTGAATAGACCAATAACAAGTTCTGAAATTGAGACAGTAATTAACAGCCTACCAACCAAAAAAAGCCCAGGACCAGATGGATTCACAGCTGAATTCTACCAGAGGAACAAAGAGGAGCTGGTACCATTCCTTCTGAAACTATTTCCAAACGATAGAAAAAGAGAGACTCCTCTCTAACTCATTTTATGAGGCCAGCATCATCCTGATACCAAAACCTGGCAGAGACACAACAAAAAAAGAAAATTTCAGGCCAATATCCCTGATGAACATCAATGCGAAAATCCTCAAGAAAAGACTGACAAACCAAATCCAGCAGCACATCAAAAAGTTTATCCACCATGATCAAGTCAGCTTCATCCCTGGGATGCAAGGCTGGTTCAATGTACACAAATCAATAAACGTAAGCCATCACATAAACAGAATCAATGACAAAAATGACATGATAATCTCAATAAACGCAGAAAAAGGCTTTGGTGAAATTCAACACCCCTTTATGCTAAAAACTCTCGATAAACTAGGTATTGATGGAACGTATCTCAAAATAATAGGAGCCATTTATGACAAACCCACAGCCAATATCATACTGAATGGGCAAAAGCTGGAAGCACTCCCTTTGAAAAGCAGCACAAGACAAGAATGCCTTCTCTCACCACTCCTATGCAACATAGTATTGGAAGTTCTGGCCACGGCAATCAGGCAAGAGAAAGAAATAAAGGGTATTCAAATAAGAAGAGAGGAGGTCAAATTGTCTCTGCTTGCAGATGACATGATTATATATTTAGAAAACCCCATCATCTCAGCCCAAAGTCTCCTTAAGCTGATAAGCAACTTCAGCAAAGTCTCAGGATACAAAATCAATGTGCAAAAATCCCAAGCATTCCTGTACGCCAATAATAGACAGAGAGCCAAATCATGAGTGAACTCCCATTCACAATTGCTACAAAGAGAATAAAATACCTAGGAATACAACTTACAAGGGATGTGAAGGACCTCTTCAAGGAGAACTACAAACCACTGCTCAATGAAATAAGAGAACACACAAACAAATAGAAAAACATTCCATGCTCATGGATAAGAAGAACTAATACCATGAAAATGGCCATACTGCCCAAAGAAATTTATAGATTTAATGCTATCCCCATCAAGCTACCATTGACTTTCTTCACAGAATTAGAAAAAAACTACTTTAAACTTCATATGGAACCAAAAAGAGCCCAAATGGCCAAGGCAATCCTAAGCAAAAAGAACAAAGCTGGAGGCATCACGCTACCTGACTTCAAACTCTACTACAAGGCTACAGTAACCAAAACAGCATGGTATTGGTACCAAAACAGATATATAGACCAATGGAACAGAACAGAGGACTCAAAATAATACCACACATCTACAACCATCTGATCTTTGACAAACCTCACAAAAACAAGCAATGGGGAAAGGATTCCCTATTTAATAAATGGTGTTGGAAAAACTGGCTAGCCATATGCAGAAAACTAAAAGTGGACCCCTCTCTTACACCTTACACAAAAATTAACTCAAGATGGATTAAAGACTTAAATGTAAGACCTAAAACCATAAAAACCCTAGAAGCAAACCTAAGCAATTACCATTCAGGACATAGGCATGGGCAAAGACTTCATGACTAAAACACCAAAAGCCAGGGCAACAAAAACCAAAATTGACAAATGGGATCTAATTGAACTAAAGAGCTTCTGTACAGCAAAAGAAACTATCATCAGAGTGAACAGGCAACCTACAGAAAGGGAGAAAAGTTTTGCAATCACTCCATCTGACAAAGGGCTAATATCCAGAATCTACAAGAAACTTAAACAAATTTACAAGAAAAAACAAACAATCCCATTGAAAAGTGGGCAAAGAATATGAACAGACACTTCTCAAAAGAAACATTTATGTGGCCAACAAACATGAAAAAAAGCTCATCATCACTGGCCACTAGAGAAATGCAAATAAAACTACAATGAAATACCATCTCACACCAGTTAGAATGGTGATCATTTAAAACATGAAACAACAGAGGCTGGAGAGGATGTGGAGAAATAGGAACGCTTTTTTTTTTCTTTCTTTTTTTTTCTTTTTTGAGATGGAGCTTCACTCTTGTTGCCCAGGCTGGAGTTCAATGGCATGATCTTGGCTCACTGCAACCTCCACCTCCTGGGTTTAAGCGATTCTCCTGCCTCAGCCTCCCGAGTAGCTGGGATTACAGGCATATGCCACCATGTCCAGCTAATTTTGTATTTTTAGCAGAGACAGGGTTTCTCCATGTTGGTCAGGCTGGTCTCAAACTCCCAACCTCAGGTGATCTGCCCACCTCAGCCTCCCAAGTGCTGGGATTACAGGCATAAGCCACCATGCCCGGCAGAAATAGAAAAGCTTTTACACTGTTTGTGGGAGTGTAAATTAGTTCAACCATTGTGGAAGACAATGTGGCAACTACTCAAGGATCTAAAAACAGAAATACCATTTGATCCAGCAATCCCATTACTGGTATATATGTAAAGGATTATAAGTCATTCTACTATAAAGACACATGTACACATATGTTTATTGCAGCACCATTCACAATAGCAAAGACTTGGAACCAACTCAAATGCCCATCAATGATGGGCAAAGAAAATGTGGCACATATACATCATGGAATACTATGCAGCCATAAAAAAAGAATGAGTTCATGTCCTTTGCAGGGACATGGATGAAGCTGGAAACCATCATTCTCAGCAAACTAATACAAGAATAGAAAACCAAACACTGCATGTTCTCACTCATAAGTGGCAGCTGAACAATGAGAACACATGGCCACAAGGAGGGAAACATCACACACTAGAGCCTATCAGTGGGTGGGGGGCTAGGGGAGGAATAGCATTAGAAGAAATACCTAATGTAGATGACGGGTTGATGGGTGCAGCAAACCACCATGGCACATGTATACCCATGGAGCAAACCTGATTCTGCACATGTATCCCAGAACTTAAAGTATAATGATAATTTTTTAAAAAGACCTGGAAGTGAAGTGACTTGCCTGAAATCACTTACAATTTATATGACCGTAGCCAGATGCTTTCATTCTAATATAACACAGTATTATAGTGGTACGACTCAAACTGAAATGAGTTCTAACTTGGGTGTATCAAATATTGAAGAAGGAGGGAAATTGTTTAACGTAAGAATCTCAGTGATGCCAATGCAAAAGTTAAATAACAACATGGAAAAGGAAATACAAGATACAGTATATTGACAGTGTATTCAATGTAAAGGAAGGTGAGAAAATAAATTGGGGAGTAAGATTTTAAAAAAGAAAAAGAAGGAAAAAGCAACTTGTGAGGGAATTAGAAGCTATTAGAAACAGAGCAAGTCTGATCAAGCAATCTTCAATGCCCAAATTCTATTTTGGAGTAGTGGAAATACAGAATGTATAAATTTGTAAAATCAGAGTAGGAAGAAAAGTAAACATCATAAAAAGGAGGGAAGTCAAACAGATGAAGGGAAAACATTAAAACTTTGAGAATAACTTGCTTTTATGTAACTAGTGAGGGGTAACTGTGGAAATGTGATTGGTTTAGGTGGTAATAAATAAATTTTAATATGTATAATGTCTAAATACTATAGGTTACATTTTAAAATTCATGAAAATAAAGAGATATGAGAAAGTGCTTTCCGAGGTTAAAAAAAGTATTAAAATATTAGTCAATGCCGTATTTCTTAGATGAAAGTTGTACATTTTTTCAAATGTTAGTGTTTCTGAAATTCGGGTGCATTTTTCATTGCGTGTAATTGCTTATATAATGTTTCTCTTTTTTCCTGGAAAACTGCTATTGAATTGATCCTTTCACTTACAGTCCCTGGTATTTCCAAATCAAGGAACTGAAGGGCAACACCCTCTCTTAAGGTTGAAACTCATGCGCTGAGATAGAAGAGAACCTCAGGGCACCAGCACCTACCCTGGCTCTGGCATCAACAAGGGCACCATTTCTCAGGAGGCATCGGACCACTTCCACCTGCCCGGCTCGGGCTGCCATGTGTAGTGCCGTCTCCCCACGCTGCCAGGGAACAAAGATCGTTAAATCATAAATTAACCCACTGCTCTGGATGGTAAATAATAAAGTCGTCCCTTTTGTGAAATTCAGCAATATATCCAAGGATTTAAGAAACCTATGAAAAGGCATAGTCTGGAAAACATAGATTTGTATCTTCTCCTTTTTTTTTTTTTTTTTTTTTTGAGACAAAGTTTCACTCTTGTTGCTCAGGTTGGAGCGCAATGGCACCATCTCGGCTCACCACAGCCTCCATCTCCCGGGTTCAAGCGATTCTCTTGCCTCAAACTCCTGAGTATCTGAGACTACAGGCATGCACCACCACGCCCAGATAATTTTTGTATTTTTCTTCCCCATCTTTATAAGGAAAAACAAATGTTTATTTTATTTTTTTAAGTCCGTAACAAACTAGTAAATGTACCCGAACATCCAGGATACTCTGAGTTGTTTAACTTCACAATCAGCCAAGCATCCTTTTAAATTGATTTTGGTGATGAAATTATCTTTTACCCTAAAAACCTAAAATCTGTCACTGTCTCACTTAACTATGTGATCACAGCTTGAATCTATTTCAGTGAGAAACTCTACATGCTGAAGATCAACACGTTGCAAAACATTAACACCACTTCTACCATAAATAAATCATTTCTTTTCAAAATTCAGAATTTACTTCGGAAATAAACTATTATTTTGTATCTGATTTTTCTTTGTGTTATGAGACTAGACAAAAATGGATCAGACAAGAAATCTGATTTGCCCAGGAGGTCCCCTATTTAAGATTAATGAGCATATTTAATTATAGACAGTTATTTGAGAGAGCCACTGAAAGATGAATAAAGTGACTGTCAGCAGTGTCATCTGTTGAGGTAGTCCATGCATCACGCCTCCAGTATCTTTGTTCTATACCAAAATATGACACACTTGTCAGGAAAGGGTGCTTTAGGTGTGGCATGAAGAACGAGGGTGTAAGAGAATTTTCTCTTCAAGAAGCCGGTTACTACTCTACTGTCTCTAAGAGAGAGGGCTTTAAAAATCAGCATATTTTAAAACTATGTAGTTCTAAAGAAGGCATGGTTTCATTCACTCAAGTAATTTTAAGATATTGAAATAAAAATTATTACAGATTGATTTACCACATTCTAGAAAATAAGGCTGATTTCAACCAAGTAAAGTAAACCATTCCAAATAAACTAAATTGATTTTAAATTTGGTTGTGCTAATTGACAAACTCCAGTGAATTATTCTGATTCCCTGTACAGCAAACCCTTAAATCTAGAAACTTTAAGGTGAACTTTAATTTGGCACATAGTTCACAGTTAATTTTTTCTCAGTATTTTAGAGACCATTTCTTTTGAAGTTATGAGAAATTCATGTCAAATGATTTGATTGTGAAAGCACTAAATTTGATATCTACTCTAATTTTCTCTTCTTTGTTGATGACTCATTTATCCTCTAATGGGCTTATTTTCTGATGACAGATTTAGACTTTTGTAAAGTAAATGTATCTGGAGCATTTTGTTTTATAAAATTAATGCTAATATTTATCTTCGGATTTTAGATGTATAGCAAGATTTTTCCTCCCTGGACAACCACGATTTCTAACTTGTTTTCTATATCATTTAAAAGCTGTCTCTAAATAGATGAGGCTAAGATCTTCTAACTACAGTTGTCCCTCTGTATTGTTGAGGGATTGGTTCCAGGCCCCCTGCTTCCCCCACCAATACCAAAATACGTGGATGCTCATGTCCTTTATATAAAATGGTGTAGTATTTGCATGTAACCTATGCACATAATCCTGTATAATTCAGCACTGCATTAGTTATAATACTTAACAAAATGTAAATGCTATATAGTTGTTATACTGTACTTTTTAAAAATTTGTTATTTTTTATTGTATTTTTTTTTTATTTTTTCAAATACTTTCAATCCAAGACTGATTAAATCCATGGATTTAGAACCCACAGATACAGAAGCTGCTGATACAGAGGGCTGATGGTATTCAAATGAAACAAAACAAGACTAGGTGCAGTGGCTCAAGCCTGTAATCCCAGCACTTTGGGAGGTCAAGGCAGGAGTACTGCTTGAAGCCAAGCATTCAAGACCAGTGTGGGAGACATGGCAAGATCTCTTCTCTAAATAAATAAATAAATAAATAAATAAGTCACGCATGGTTGTGCATGGCTGTAGACCTAGCTACTTGGAAGGCTGAGGCAGGAGGATAGCCTGTGCCTCGCAGGTTGAGGCTGCAGTGAGCCATGATCTTGCCCACTGTACTCCAGCTTGGGTGACAGAGCAAGGTTGTGTCTCAGAAAAATAAAAACAATACTCCTCAAATCTTTATGTTATTTCTAGGTCTGATAAAAGGCTAGCAATTTTACTAATTTTGGTAGAAATGAAGATAATAAATTTCCTTATAAGAAGTTAAAAGTCAAAGAGGTCCCAGGAATTCCTACTTAACGACAAACTTTCATGTTTATTATTTATTTATTTATTTAGAGACAAAGTCTCGCTCTGTCCCCCAGGCTGGAGTGCAGTGGTGCAATGTCAGCTCACTGCAACCTCTGCCTCCTTGGTTCACGTGATTCTCCTGCCTCAGCCTCCCAAGTAGCTGGGATTACAGGCATCCACCACCACGCTCGGCCTTCGTGTTAACTTTTTAAGCCAAGCTTTATCAATAAGAGGCTTTCAAAATCTGAAATGTTTCCAGTACTGGCCAATATTTCTGAAACTTTATTTTATACTTAAGTGATTTTTTATGGGTTTTACACACTTGAAGTTGATGAGTTAAATATAGAATCTAATTTAAAGCACTAAAGCTTAAATTCAAACAAAGGTTATGTATAAACACACACATGGTCTCTCCACTTTATAATAACGGTCTTGTTTATTTCTTATCTAATGCCTCTGGCATAATAGACTTCTACTGTAAGTTGCCCTTAGTAGTCTTTTGATTTAATATTACCATTGTTTATATATAAGAATAAATAAGAAAATGAATGTCAGGATATATTGTTTTAATAAATAACTTCCATTTCTTGATTGTCAGACACCCTGTTTTATTTAATAGCCCTGTCTTTCTTATCTCAAGCTAATGAAATTTAAGGATTGGGGAAAATTTTTAAGCACAATATAATGTGTGAACTTTACCATTAGTCCACTGATTTCTTATGGGAAGGAAGATAAAACTTTGTAAGACCTTGCATTCTTTCTTGATAGTTGTTAAAATGCTTAAGTTTTCTATTCCTATAGTTATTGGTGAATACTTTGGATTATGGATATGTCATAATTGGCAGTTCGGCATTCTAGGTTTCAAAATGTATTAATAAACCTTCTGGAAAAGGAGATTTTCAGTTAAAAAAATGTCTATACGTGATTGAGTTACTGGTACACCTCACACTTGGAGTGAATTCTCAGACACAAACAAGACTAGCAAGAGAATGAGTATGCTCATGTCCAAAGCAGGTACTAAATTTCATGCCACTCTTCTCAGTTGTTAAAACTGACTCTGCTGACAGGGCTACAATGACTTCCACTTCGGGCGCATCAAGTTGAAAAGCATCGAAGCACAACAAACAGCATTGCATTCAAAAATGCAACATGATTTCAGGCAACACACAAAGGCTCCAAGGGTGGGGTATTTTAGGGTCAGGAAGTGACCAACTCTGACACAGCAAGCAGGCAGTCAGTGTTCACACGGTTTCTTCATCAACTTGTAAAGAATTTTGGATCCAGTAGCTATATCCTCATATTCTGAGAAAACACAACTTCACAGGCATCTCACTGTTAGAGAAAGTTAAATTCCTCTAAATGTAGGATTGCCAGATTTAGCAATTAAAAATATAGGACAGCCAGTTAAATTTTAATTCCAGACAAACAACAAATAATTATTTTACTATGTCTCAACTATTGCATGGGTCGTATACAAAATTTATTTTTCATCTGAAATTTAAATTTAACTGAGAGTCCTATAATTTACCGGGCAGCCCTATCAATAGGTATCTGCTTCCTGAAGGACGTATCTTACAAAACATAACTAGAAAACACGGAAATTATATTGGCATGTGCCCCTCAAGAATTTGTTTTGAGGGAGCTGAATGGAAAGATAATATAATGGACAAATGAACAGATAAAATGAAGAACTTTAAATAACCAACAGTTGGAAGCTAAAGTTTAATGTAACAATTGTCAAATTTGAGAGTCTTCAACAACCTGAAAAACATGTCAAAATTGCTTATTTCAATTAATATTTTATTTTTATTTGAAAATATACATTTACCCTATATAACTTTTTTTAATAGAAGGGAGTATATTATAACTCCATAACCATCTGAAGATTTGGAATTGCTCAGTGAAGAAGCAAAGTAAGAGTGGCCACAAATTCCACAACCATTTTATATGGATTATTCTTTGAAGATTTTGTAAAAATCTCCCCAAAAGAGGTTAATTTAGGAGATTGCAATCAAGCAATCCACAGAATATTCTTGTACATGTTATCATAATAATGTGATAACATATTGTAACATACTGTCACTATTGCTCCTCTGATCCCATAGGCATTGGAATGCAAATAAGAAAAGGTGGAGAAAACAAGGAAAAGGCGGGCAAGAACACAGAGGGTTTTTTGTTTGTTTGTTTTCTTTTGTTGTTTGTTGTTTGTTTTTTGTTTTCATGTTACTGGCCTGTATGTAAGTCTGTTCAGGTCTCAATTTAAAAAAGAAAAAAAAAGGTAGTCATCTCAAAAAAAAAAGGGGGGGAATGATGATTACTTTTAAAGTTCTAAGAAGTGACTAGAAATTAAACTTACGTTGGCACATTGTGAAATTACTCTTATGTCTAATGGAGTAAATAAAGATTAGCATATAATATTATGACCTTAGGACCAATAAGCTATAATTAAGAAAACTTATAAATATAGACTTTAAATTCTTCAATGATTTTATGCTCCAATTACTGAATAATATGAAGAGAGAGTATTAAATAATTTTTAAAATCAATTAAATTAACTCTCACAGTGGATTTCCTAGCCATCAGAAACTTCACTGTGGAAACGGTGTGTGAAATACAGAAAAAAAGAAATATGAGAGGGAATACAAACAAAAAATGAAATTGGACATTCTCTTTCACAACTTAAATGGAAAGAGATGCCAAAAATTAACAACAAGTGCCAATCAATTGCTTTTGAAAACATAGCTCATTTTAATAATAAGCACTAATATTTATTTTGAGAGAGTTATTTCTGGTGCACACATGAATCTCAATACTCTACTAGCCCTTCTTGAACTTCAAATACCTGCCTGCACCTTGTGCAAAGAAGTTCTCTTGCTCAGGAGAAAATTTACATTCGATGATTTGTCATGATACAATGGCCAAAGTTTAAAGGGGGAAAATCCAAGAAAATGAGAGATATACAAAGAAATTAGAAGTGGAAATTCTAATTTAGATTACATAGAAAAATTCTGAGACATCCAGTACTTGTTGACTGAATGAAAGTGGTCTGGAGACAAACATTCATTCCAGGATACATGGTATAACTTTCAGCTAAGAGAAGCCTCCACTCTAGCAAATCAGATCAAATCAAAAGTAAAAATCAATGTAATGTTACAAAATGGGAAATCCATGTAACTGAAGAAGGAAGAGTTTGATACCAAGTAAAACTCTCTGATATTGATCTATCTCTGGTTAATCTTTTGTTAAGATTAATTATGGTACTGATTTGATGTTTTTGTGAAAATTGCCTGGAATACAATTTCCTCAAGCAACTAGGTTGAGCCCTGAAGATTCTATTCCAACCAATTATCCATTCACTTTCAGAGGAGCTTTTAAAATGTATTTTGTTTTAATAAATGCATTTAAGATGCCTGTTCAATCCACCTACACCCGGAATCTTAAGCTGTTTCACTTCATAGCTTCCATTTTACCTCCTACCCTATCCAGATTCTTTTCAGTGAAGTTCTGGTGATTATTTCAATAATATGTTATTACAAGGGCCCTTCTCAAAGCTTGGTGGCTTACTTTGATGACATACACACAAACACACGTACACACACCCACAATCTCTGTTCCTCTCGCTCTTCCTCCCTGGGGTTATTCTGACCCAAGCCATACTCACAATGTTAGTGACATCTGGAGAGGCTCCGTTCTGCAGCAGAAGGAGGACAATGTTCAAGTGGCCCATGAAGGCAGCCACATGTATTGGTGTGAGGCCAGACTGCGAAACAAAGCAACAGCAGTTTTACTCCTCTGCACCGGTGGGGCTTTGGGGCTTCTTCAGAAAAATAAAACTTGAGTGAAGAGGACAGAAGATGAGAAAAAGGAAAGGGAGGAAGGAGTAAGAGAAGGAGTGCTTTGTGACTAGCTAAAACATTTTTCTACCTCTGTTATAGCTTGGATTGAAGCCCCATATTTCACCAGCAGTTCCATGACTTTGATGCGGTTTTTCTTGCAGGCAATGTGCAGTGGAGTAAAACCATTCTGTGCAAAAGACAATCAAGTTAGTTGAAAACATGCAGAAACAATTCTCACACAACTCCATGCTGGCACATTGCAAGCAATAATGTTACATCATCACATAATGTTACCATTTCTTCATCCCCTGTAGGTGTTGAAATTTGGAAAGAAAAATGGTGATGTGTTCCTGTAGGCACTGAACTTCACTTATGTGTGGTGGGCCTGAACATATATCTGTTTGTGTGCTTACAGAGAAAACAAAAGTGAAGAAAAATACATGGTCCTTCTCTTTAAAGAAAGACAAATAGACAAGCAATTATATTTTAGAAGTTCTAAGATGTTTTAAGGTATATTGATTGTCCTGGTTAGTAAATGACTTGAAAATGAATTGAAGATAAGCATATATTCTTCTGAAGGGTCATTTCTCAGAGCATAAGAATTATTCAACTACTTAAAAAATCTAAGAATATGCTGCCTTTGTAAGAAATATTTCAACTTTGCTACCACTTTCTTTATAAAGGGTGTATTTCAAGTCAGCAGAAATCATTATGTTGATCAGTTTTACATACAGAAGCTATATTTTTACATAATTTTTATAACATATATGCCAATCAGATAAATTTTATTGCATAAAGAAATGACTGTTAAGTTCCTGGATATTTTCAAGAAATGTATGGAGAATTTCTGGGATAAATGCAATGAGGTAGCTCTAGGAGTAAAGAAACATGGGGAGGAAGTCTGTCAGGTACTTTCTAACTTAGCGAACTAGGCTAACGCCCAGGAATTGGGGCAAATTAAGTAAAATGTGTTAAATGGCCTCATGCTTACTCATCGTGTATTACATTTTTTTTATTTCAGCAATGTTCCTTTGTTACTTCTATTCTGCCAGCTAACATTTTTGCATGTCCCAACATGGACCAATCATCAGTCAACGTTTTTACACACTAGCAGTTTTCAGGAAAGCATATGGTCTTACTTAAGCTGATGACTTCTTATTTTTCACAATAGAGTGACAAACATAATTAATTGGTTAAGTCATTTCCCCTGTTTATGAGCTATACAACATGCCAGATGTAAATAGCCACATGCACATGCAGCACTTAAAATATTTGCAATTAACAGGCTGTGATATTTTATAAGCTTATTGACCACTATCCAATTAAAAAATTAATGTTTTTGACTCCCTAGAGAAAATGAATGTTTTCACATAATTACATATAATCTGGAAAATATACTCAATTCCCATGGAATTATCAATAAATTGATTCCAATGGAGAAATTCTCATAAAAATCATATTTAATATTTGATGATTCTAATGAGGGTCTCTCAGCTTAAATACTGATTGTCTGAAGACCAATTTTTACAGACACAAACCATGTAAACACATAGAAAAAAGGATTTACTTTTAGTTTGAGAATTAGGAAAAAAGAGGCATAAATTAGTACATGTCTAATACTTCCAATGATTCTTGTTAGAAAATAAGTGAAGCAAGAAAGATTTATTCAATATTAGAACTGGGGAGACATAAAATTGCTCTAGGGACAGCCTCTTGCAGTTTTCTCTCCAGCAGTTCCTGAAATGGTGTATATAAAATGCTCCCTGAAGCAATAACACACTAGGCATAATGTTTCTATTAGCCTATGGTTGAGTAATCAAGTCAACAAGGAAATTTTTCAAGTGAACTTTTCATAGGCTTACATTTTATACCCTCTTACATAGTCAAATATATTCACCATTAATTTTTTTCCAAAAAGAGATTAATAAATTCAACTTTTCACACTCGTGTCCTAACTTTATCTAGAGGTATCTAGAATTTATTTTGTAATTTTCTATTTTTCAACTTCTATTTTCCATTTAAAACTGCTTATCACTCCAAAGGTTTCATATCTATCTGTTTGCAACTCACTAGTTTCAGAAATGTTACACTGGTGTTCTCTTAAATACATCTTTGCTCACCAGCATTTGCTAGCAAACTATAAAGGTATGAAGTAGACAGGCCGATTGTGAAGGGTGACAGATGTACCAGCATTAACTACATATCTGTAACCATGCATTGCTGGTATATGCACGTTGGTCAATGAATGTGGGTTTGTTTGTCTCAATCTGTATTCAGTTAATGTGGACTGGGCCAAGTTTACCAGGGCTCTGGCATTCGGATTGGCTCTCTTGTCCAAAAGGAGTTTGGTTACGCGGTAGTGGCCACAGTGCGCAGCAACGTGGAGGGCTGTCAGGTAGTCTAGGGTGACATCATCAACAGGCGCCTTGTGCTGTAACAGGTGCTTCACACATTCCACGTGGTCTCCCTGGGCAGCCATGTGTAGTGGAGACAGCCCATTCTGCACATTAAGAGAAAACAAAATGATGTCAATTTTTTTTTTCATTATTTTCAGGTTCCAAAATACAGCAAAGTTGATTCTTGATTTCTAACACAGTTAGTGGCAGGGGAAAAAATAATTTCCATTTGACATCAGAATATACAGCAGACTATATTTGGTAGAGATGGGCACTAAGAGAACATTTAATTTCATAATTATACTACCATAGACAAAAATGCAAATTAGTATGTCTCTCACGAATGGTATGTGTGGCAATTTAGTGGCAATTTAGCCTGATTTTACAGTTATTAGGGCAATATTAAATACAGAAAAATAAATAATAGCTAATGCTTAAGTTATTGATATCCAACTCCATGCATAGCAGTCTGCATTCACTTAATCTCTCTGCCTGCATTTCTTATAAATACAGAGGGAAGTGGGTGAATGAGAAGCAAGTTCATTTACAAGAGGTCAGGGAGGTATGGAAACTTTGATCATCTTTTAGATCCATGTTGCTCTTAAATTTTACGATCCCTTTTGCCTATAGTATCAGGAGACTTGAATTGGACTTGGAGAAAACAGGCTGGTAAGAGCTAGAAGAGTGTGAGACAAATGTGGGCCATATGCCAATGACCTCACAACTTTTACATTTGAGGGTAATCTAAATTTGTCTTCATTAATATGGACCAAAACAGCTTTAGTCTTAATTCTAGAATAACGTCAATAGCAGGAACACAAGAAAGCAACGTAAAGCACTATTCATAGACTCGGTAAGACTCTCATTTCTTTAAAGCTAAATAAATAAACTTTCAGGAAACAGTATGTAAACTTAGGAAAAAACTAAATTTTAAAAAACAATTTGCCTATTAAAGAGATGGGACTATTGTCTTTTCTTAATAACCAATGCAAATATGACCACTAGAAAAAGGATTGTTGGCCAGGTATCCAGTTTGGCAGGATTACATTCAACAAAGCAGAAACTGTATCTGGATAAGTTACCAGAAAAGGCCCCCTGCCCAATATTCTCAACAAGGAAGGTGATTTCAACAGTGAGGGACAAAAAAAAAAAAAATATATATATATATATATATATATATATATAAATTCTTAATTGTGGTAAAGTATATGTGACTTACAAATTATTCATATATTTTGAAATAATCTTCATTCATAATTATGCTTTCTTATTTAGAAATTCATTAAATAAGTTTAGAAAAAGAGGAACAGGTTGATGAGAGGCCATTTATGCATTGAGGGGAAGATAACTGTCAACAGCAAAGTGTAGAAGAAATTCAAGCCTTGATGATGTTTGGACTAGATTGTTGCATGTTTTTTTGAAAAATTGCCATTCATTGATGCTGTTTTACCTATTTGAAAGTTATTTATATGGAAAACAAAATATTTATGATCTAATCTTTTGTTCATTTTACACAATATTTACTTAGCACCTACTCAAGCCCTGTTCAAGTACTGGGGATACAGCAGGGAACACAACAGACAGGAAACCCCTGTCTTCAACCAAGGTTACATTCTAGTGTGGAAGCCAGACATACAATTTCAAAATAATAAGAATTAAAGTATATAGTATGTTGGATGGCCATCAATGGAAAGGAGAAAACAAAAACATAGAATGGCCTAGGGAGTTTGTGTACATGAGTGCAATTTTGTTAGGATGTCCAGAAATGGCCTCACTGAGAAGGTGAGTTTTGATATGAAGGAAGTAAGAGAGCTAGTTTTGTTGACTTGGGGGAAAAACACTTGAGACTGAGAAAAGGCAACTCCAAACATATTGCGTTGGGATTATAACTGGCATGATTGATATCAATAATCACTAAGGAGAAGAATGTGGTTTAAGGCGAGTGAATGAGGAGGATGGATAAGGGGAGGAATTCAAAGAGGTGAGCGACTTTTACTCAGAGAGATATGGGGTGCTGTTGGAAGGTTTAGGGCAACAGGATTACTCTTGCTGCTGTGCTGAGAATAGACTACATGGACAAAACACAAAAGAAGGGAAGTCAATTAGGGACCTCTTACAGTCCTCCAGGTAGGGTTGATGGTGACTTGGAACAGAGTGTTGGTAATGAGATTGCTGGCAAGCTGCTGACTTAGTGACACATTTTAAAGGAAGAGGTGACAGTGTTTGGTGACAGAATGTGGAAAATGAGAAAAAGAAGAGTCCAACATGGCATGAGGTATTTGGCCTGAGATCTGAGAAACTGAAAAAATGAGACGGCCATTTGTTGAGATAAGGAAGCTAACAGGAAGATTAGGTTGAGGGGTGGGTAATTTTGAGCTTACTAAATTTGAGATGCCCAGGAGACATCCAAGTGGCAACGGTGAGCTGATATCTACATATGGAATTCTGAAGACACACACTCGTGGCACCAGCATACAGGTACTATTTAAAGATAGAACTGTATGAGATTTCATAGTAAGTGAGTGCCAATAGAGAAAAGATACAAAGACTAAGCTCTGGAGGTTCTAACGTTCAGAGACCTGAGAGATGAGGAGGAACTAGTAAAGGAGACTGAGAAGTGGCAGCTAGGAAAACAGAAGGAAAGTCAGAAGAATGTAATGTCCCAGAAGGCAAATAAAGAAAGTGTTTTGAGAAGACAGAACCAAGCAATCACACCAGATGATAGTAACAGGAGAGAACGTAGACTACATGGGTTCCAAGTCATATCACTGGATAGATATGGAGGTGAGTGTGTTTGGAAATTCTCTTCCAATTGCTTCAATTCTCTCAGTGTTGTGGGAAATGAAGACAAGGAAAGGAGCCTAAGAATTCTGAAGACAATATAGAATGGTCAGATAGCAGGGATTGACAGTGAATAGACTTAAAAAACAGAGCGTGATTGTCAGGCAGCATTACCAGCGCACTTGAGGTTAGCAATCATGAATGTAAAGTGAGCACAGTTAGTGTGGCTGGGCGTTTCCTGTAGCCACATTTGGTTGCATGAATATGAGTTGAATTTAATTGAGTGAAATGTAGGTAGTATGAATATGTAAGAGCGTAGCATAAATGACTATGAAATTTGTGCCTGGCAGAGGTAAGGGCATGATGTGAATGAGGAAGAGTGAAACTACGACTGAAAGTCCCAGCAGAATAAAAGAATTTCGGAATTGGGGTTCTGAAGAGAGTGAGCTGAAACACAGGAGGGGCTGGCAAGAGGAAAGTTAGACACAGAAATTGTAGAAGGTTTACAGTTACCAAACTGAGAGGCCAACTTAAAGAATTATCCATTGCTCTAATCAAAATCAGTCAAGTCACCAAGAATAAGAAGGGGTTGTGGTGAGAAGTCACAGTTTGCTGAGAGCTAGAATTGACAAGGAATGAGTGGGGTGACACTTAGATAGTTGCTTCAGAAGAAAGAATGGGTGATTTAAACCTAGGAGTTTTTATGGAAGGTAATATGGTTTGGCTGTGTCCCCACCCAAATGTCATCTTGAATTGTAGCTCCCATAATTCCCTTGTGTTGTGAGAGGGACCCAGTGGGAGACAATTGAATCATGGGTGAGGTTTCCCCCATACTGTTCTCGTGGTAGTGAAGAAGTCTCACAAGATCTGATGGTTTTATAAGGGGAAAGCCCTTTCGCTTGGTTCTCATTTTCTTCTCTTGTCTGCCACCATGTGAGATGTGCCTTTCACCTTCTGCCATGGTTGTGAAGCCTCCCAGCCTCATGATTGTGAGTTCCTCCCCAGGTGGAATTGTGAGTCCATTAAACTTCTTTGTAAATTGCCTAGTCTCAAGTATGTCTTTATCAGTAGCGTGAAATGGACTAATACAGAAGGGGAGGAAGAATAGTCTAGCATTAGGCACCTATGCCATTCCCAGGAGAGCAGTATCCCCTCACTCTAACCTGATTAATTCATCTTCTCTGTGTTTCTTACCCTATACATATCTCTATTTTTTTATAATTATCTTTTTTTTCCTCTCATGCCCGCTAAATTCTGAGCTTCTTGCAGCTATAGATTGTGTATTATTCATCTTGATGGTGCCTTAGTGACTAGAACACTTGCCTGGCAAATTGTATCTACTCAGTATTATATAATACTTGGATGCATAAATACATGAATATAATTGTACACTCAGAGACACTTTATGCAGGATCCTTACATCTGAATGATACTTGATTTTACAGGAAGGACATTAAAAAATTCCATCTAGGTAACCCACCATCTTCATCAGTGATATGACAATTACAAGCAAACTCTGCAGATAAGATTATTTTATGGTTTATAAAGCCTATTTGCCTATTTTCAACTTGATATTGGTTTTTGTATTGGTTGTAACATGATTGGTCTGAAATTTTGTTATTTCCATTTAAATTTCAATGTTTCTTTATCAAAACTTTCCATAATTGTCTCTGCATTACCCAGCCCAAATTGCTGCATTTTAAAGACAGATCTATACAACATTCACAGCATAGGTGTGAGAATAAAAATAATGTGATAATTATTTCTCTTCTTCATATATTACTGATTTGAAGACACTCTTTTATGGCATGTGGGCACATCTTTACAAACTGAGTTCATTCTACACATGTCTTAAACATATGGGCTAGTTTTGTTTCAAATGATTTCAATTATATATAAGTTTAAAAATATTTGTTTGTGTTAATTGCCTTAGTTTCTTCAGCTTACCCTAGTAATAGCATTAGTTGATACTAACTCTGTGGTGGGGGGGTATGAGGTGGAATGGAATAGGGAGAAAACATAAGAAGTGCCCTTTGTCTAAATTTGTGTTGTATTTAAGGATCCAAGGTTGCTGCATATCACATTAATCAGTTCTGCATGACTATCTTCAATTCGTGTCTCAAAATATTTTCTGATAACCCAATGTAGGGTTGGATAACAGAGAACTATACAATAATAAAAGCACTGAAAATACATTTGATATTGAAAAATCTTCAGCAAACCAACTCACAGTGTGGCGTTCATGTATATGGAAAAGTGCTTCTCCCACATTTGAGCATATTGATAAAATGAGAATAAAAAGTGCTAGATGTAGTATGTCATAAAGAAAATATGCTTGTTTAATAGTTCTTTGTAGGTGGCCTATTGCAACTTCTGCTTTCCAAATCACCTCTACTAATCTTCAACATAATCAATCAATACCACTGTTGAGTAATTATTTTTTATTAGTATTACCTAAGAGATAAAGAATGGATGAGCAAAAAGATTCATCTTGTGTTGCTAATTGTGCTGCTTTAAAAGATAATTTTATATATATTTCATAGTCATCTGAGAGGATTATAAAAATCTAGACTCAGAATCTAAGAGATATTCTCATTTATATTTAAAATACAGATGTATTCAGAATTCCATCTGCAGTAAGAATAACAGATAAAAATATAGAAAAAACTTGAAGGTACACATTCAATACATCTTAATGCATATATCTGTTTATTTTAATATTTTTAAGTGGTTTAATACATGTTCCTATTCCTAGCACACAATTATTAAAGAACTAGAAAATGCTTGGCTGATGCTTCGATTTAAAAAAAATAGAGATAATATATCAAGTGACTTAAAGATTCCTTAGGATCCCATCTTACTCATAATGACTCACCTTAGTCCTTGCCAGCAAGGGAGCACCCCGTTCCAACAGAAGTTCCACCACTTGGTCATGCCCACTTCGTGCAGCACAGTGAAGTGGTGTCAACCCATCCTGCCAAAAGAATTGAAGAATTAGGCCCAAGTTCACTTTAAAAAAAATCCAAATTTCATCTATTGCAACCATAAAGAGGGAGTTCCTAAACTCAATCCTGATCACTCAATAAATCTGTAATAGAACTGCAATTTGTTAAATGACCAGAAAGAAGATGAGGGACAGAGAAAACAAGTCAGAAAGACATCTTGACAGAGAACAAGAAAGAGAAAGGAAAAGACAAAACAGAGACAGGGAGAAAGCAAGAGAGATCCCCTGTGTGGATGGAGGGTCAATGGAATGAAATTGGTTTCTGGTCATGTGTTTGCGTAATCAAGAAGATGGAAAAGCACAGTATGTGGCATTTGTTGAACTTTAAAGCCCTACTCACTGGAACCGAAAACAGAGATTATATTAGGTTATACTGTTTTCATTTTGTTTGTTCTAATATACTTTTACCTAAAAATTTTTCTTAGTGTAATTTTTTCATATATGTTCTCTTTTGAATTGTCACCACTTACATAAATTCTCCTAAAATGCTCCCTAACGCTTGTAAAAGTGAAAGGTCATTTTTTAGACTATTTTAAAGATTTTCACACATATATTTCAACATTTTGGAAATCACATAATTGCTTCTCAAAGATGAACTTTATTATTAATAAGTAGAACTCTAAATTAATCAAATAAAATATGGCAGAACTGTATGCTATCTTATTTATAAAACTTTCTGATCTTAACACTTCTGGGATAGCCTCTGATTCCAGAGCAATCCCCAATGCCTTCTGTCTTTTATATTTTATTTCTCTTTAGGTTGGCATGGCCAAAAAGCAGAGCGGGTGGGAAATGTGAGGGAAAATGTAATTAACGGTGGGCAAGAAGCGAGAGAGAAAATGAAATACTGAGTACGTAAATTGACTGGTGATTTGAGGCTGAAGGAAAAAAAAAAGATTGTCCCAAGGACAGAGGTGGAAAAGGTGGGTAAATCATAGAGAATGGATGATGAGCAGTTAAGAAGATTTCAGCAGTTTCTGATTTATCCAGAACTCGAATGGCCTCTTGTTTGTGTCTCTACTTTCAGGACCATCTCTCCAGGTTATGCTTTACTCCAAATAAAAATAATTCCTCTGAATTGCAACATTCTTTCTGACTCAACGCTGGGATTTCTGTGCAAGATGTCTTCTGTTTGTCCCTCCAGACCCAGCTCTACCCTTCTCTGCTCTGCTCTGTGTCCCAACACACTGGCCGTTCTAGGGGGCATCAGTGAGCTGTCTTGTCCTCGGGCTTCCAACTGGGTTTGGCCAATGTAGCAAGACATGAAAGGGACTTCGAGAGACCTCCCAAATTCGGCTGTGTGTCTTTACCAAAGTTGACCTTCCTGCCAAAGCAGCCTTTCCACACAATTCTCTCCTTTGAACTTCTGGGGGCCTCCTGTACTTCTCACTTTTTAGGTCTAGCATTGGTTTTGAGTACCGCTGTTACTAGTCCCTGGGATTCTACACTGTCCCTTGTCCCTTTCCTACAGACTACACAATATTATAAATAGACCCTTCAATAATCTCTAATCAAATAATCAAATTTGGGCCTCTGTTTATGGCTAGAATCTTGACTGATAAAGATTCTTTGCTTTGTGAAATCCATTTAGCTAGTATGAAGATATTGAATGACCAAAACAGATTTTGCAGTTTTGGGTACCTAAGAATTAGCATGAAAAGACTGCCTTCTCAGAAAAAATTTTAAAAAGTATTTAACTACTGTAGGTGAAATGCTACATTATTGTAAAATTTGCCAGATAGGAGCCTAAAAGAGTTGTTCCAGCAAAGTGATGACAATGATTACACTTTTGTATCCTGAAAAAAGCACCCTGTGGTGGAACTACAGAGCATTAGTTGCTACATAACTTACCTAACAATTAGATATAGCATAGTTTCTCAAATGTATTCTTGGCGAAGGCTTTGTGGAGACCTAGGGTTTGAGAAATCCCACATGGTGAATAGAGGCATCATATGTAACAGTTCACTGTGTGGACTTCGGAACTGTGGAACCCTGCAGTGAATCTCAAATCTGCCACCATGGGTGAATCTCTCTAAGCTCAGCTTCCTGATACATAGAGTGGAGATGATGTTTCTCACCCTATTTAACTTGCAAGCCTTGTTTGAAAGATGAAAGAGGGAATGCCACCTTACATCTTTTTTAGAAAAGGCAGCATATTGCTTTCTGCAAATTACATGAAATAGTCTTTGTGTAATCATGTTGAAACCTCTCAAATACTCTCAGAGTAACAACAGGAGCTTTATGGAGCACATTTAATATACCCACAAGAACATCAAGGAAAAATAAGGATTAAATTAGTTCTAACTCCTACATTTAATGATGCAAGGTGTCTGTCCTTATAAGATGTGTGAATGATGACATCAAATTCAAGTTACCCAACAGGCTCAATTTGATTAGATATTGAATATTTTCTACAAAGCACATTATCAAGTTAATGCCCCAAAAAAATTACTTTCAAGCTTTTGTATTCTAAAACCCTTTTACTTAAATTCTTAACTTTGTGGTTGCAGGTTATGGGTTTTTCCCCTTCCAGAGACCCTTTGTGTTTTCTCTGTTTTTTTTTTTTTTTTTTTTTTTTTTTTCTCTAGAATCAATTCATCACACTGATATACTATCCACCATGATGTGAATAATTTTGATAAAGGTAGATCAATCAACACTGGAGGGATGCCACTTATGTAGTTTCTTTATCTTTTCATATTTCCCCCCCTTTCTGCTTAGGTCATTGTTTCAACAATGTATCCTAAAGTTTGTGTATTCACATGGGTAGGCTCTGCTGATTACCAAGCTGTGTGTCCTAGGTTAAGTTACATAATTCTGCTGAAATGCATTTTTCCCTTTGGTAGTCTCATTTCTCAAATGAAGACCTCCATATATTCTCAACAATAAAATAATACACACTTTATAAGTTGTTAGGAAGATAAAATAAGACGATATTTGTAGAGTACTTAGCAGGGTGTCTAGAACAACACATTTATATGACAATTGACAGTCATTATTGTTATTACACCTAATAACAAGTAAGAAGGGTGTTTCCTTTTCCCTATGTATTTTTTGTTCATCATCCTTTAATGTTTTTGTACACTTTTTATTGTTTGTATTGAAATATGTTTTTTAATATTTTAAACATAATCCTTATATGGGGTATCATCACATTTAAATAATAAAGAAGCCAAAAACAACAAAAAAAGAATAATGCCTTAATAAAGCCTAAATTTATAATTTCATTTTAACTAGCTATAAAATTTATATTTTCACATTGAAATGAGGTCTTTCAGATACCAGCAAAAGGCTCTGGTGCAAATGTCTTAGAGTTTCACATTAGATAGTAGTCAATGATGAGAATGCCAACAATATGGAAAATGTCTCAATGATTGCCAAAATGGTGGTGAGAGTCAAGAAGTAACTGTGGGTAATACTTGTTTTTTAATTATCTGAAAGCCTCTATAGATCTTGCTATTCTCTAGATAATAAAAACCTTATGAATGAGAAAAATAATGAGAAGACCAAGGTAAGATCCTTGACAGAATATACTAAATTCAGAACATTTGTGGTTAATTTAAATGCTGGGGGAAATTGAGATGTCAATGACAAAAAAATAAAAAATAAAAAAATAAAAGAAAACATAATACTTTAAAAACATTCCAGCCAGGCGCGGTGGCTCACGCCTGTAATCCCAGCACTTTGGGAGGCCGAGGTGGGCAGATCACCTAAGGTCAGGAGTTCAAGACCAGCCTGACCAACATGGAGAAATCCTGTCTCTATTAAAAATACAAAATTAACCAGGCAAATGCCTGTAATCCCAGCTACTCGGGAGGCTGATGTAGGATAATTGCTTGAACCAGGGAGGCGGGGGTTGCGGTGGGCCGAGATTGCACCATTGCATTCCAGCCTGGGGCAACAAGAGAGAAAACTCCGTCTCAAAAAAAAAAAAAAAAAAATCATATATAGAAGTTTTCTTATATTCTCTAAAAATATAGTGAAAACCAAATTAAACATTGATATAGTTTATCAATGTTTTGATTTAGGCGTCACCACCTCTCATCTTGAATTCTATTTCCCATAATACCTATGTGTCATAGGAGGGACCCAATGGGAGGTAATTGAATAATGGGATGGTTGCCCTCATGCTATTCTTGTGACAGTGAGTTAGTTCTCATGAGAACTGATGGTTTTATAAGGGGCTACCCCCTTCACTGGGCACTTATTTCTCTCTCCTGCCACCATGTGAAGAAGGATGTGTTTGTTTCAGCTTCCACCATGATTGTAAGTTTCCTGAGGCCTCCCCAGTCCTACAGAACTGTGAGTCAATTAAATTTATTTCCTTTATGAATTACCCAGTCTCAGGCAGTTCTTCATAGCAGCATGAGAACTAACTAATACAAACATTTTTTCCATTTTTAAATACTTTTCAACAGGCAAAAGAAAAAGCAAAACATATTCATTTATTTTAGTAATCAAATATTATAGCTTCAGAATTGGCCTCCCAGTTCCAGCACACAGTCCTTGATTTCAGTATTTACCTCCTACTTGATTTTGACTCTGATAAGAGGGATATAGGTCTGTTAGCTGTAGCCAGAATGAAAAGAACCCAGCAATGCTTTTAAAATCCTCCTACTTACAGATGAAGAAGTATTTCAACTTATGGGGGGAAAGTTTAGTGCTAAAAAAGTTCAGTGCAACCCTATTCACAATAGCAAAAACTTAGAACCAAGCCAAATGCCCAGCAATGATAGACTGGATAAAGAAAATGTGGCACATATACACCATGGAATACTATGCAGCCATAAAAAAGGACGAGTTCATGTCCTTTGCAGGGACATGGATGAAGCTGGAAACCATCATTCCCAGCAAACTAACACAAGAACAGAAAACCAAACACCACATGTTCTTGATCATAAGTGGGAGTTGAACAATGAGAACACATGGACACAGGGAGGGGAACATCACACACCAGGGGCTGTTGGGGGATGCGGGTAGGAGAGAGATAGCATTAGGAGAAATACCTATTGTAGATGACGGGTTGATGGGTGCAGCAAACCACCATGGCACATGAATACCTATGTAACAAACCTGTATGTTCTTCATATGCACCCCAGAACCTAAAGTATAATAATAATAATAATAAAAAACTTCAGTGCAACCATTCAATATTATAGCTAATCCTGGGGTGTGCTGGAACCAGTTCATATGAAATAAGGAAAGCCACTTTTTGCACACCTCTTCCCAATTCTACATTTAGTGATACCATGTAGATACCAATTCTACATTCAGTGATACTGACCACTGTAGAAGTATTTATACCATGGAAACTAGCAAAGGCAATGCTACAAATCAAGGTTTTTGTTTAGTTTAGTTTTGTTTTTTTTAAAGAACCTATTATTAAACTTTTACAAGAAGACTGCTAACTTAATTCCTTGAACTGTTGACTTGCATCTCTGTGAGTCTAGAAACCTGCTCTGTCTTGTTAACTGTTGTATCTTCAGGGTTCACAGCACCAAGTAGGAACTCAATAGTTATTTGTTTAAGGAATAAATGAATGGAATGTTCATACAATGTATACAATTAGAAAACCTATTTTATTCTTTTTAAATTCTTGAATGAAATTTAATTTATTTGCTGTATCTAAAGGCTGCACTATGACAGAACTAGTATAAGAATCCATTTCATTTCATTTCTTAGTACTATTTTTATGAAGATACACTGCCTATTTGGAGTTAGAATTTTTAATTGTATACCCAAATATATGTAAGCCACACATATTAGAGTACTTTTATTAAGTAAATATTGTTGATTAATAAGAACAAAATCAACTATCTCAATAATGAGTGAATACTCCAAAAAGCATTAATAAAAGCAATGTGCATCCCTAAGACATTGGCCAAGATAAAAATTTTTTGCATTCCCAAAATGCTTTCTTTCCAGTGATAATCTCATAAAGGCAGTATATAGGAAGAAATTATGTTAGTAAAGTATGCTTGTAATGTAATACATTGGTAATGTTACGAATGATGTTAGTAATGTAGTAATGTGTAAAAGCTCATTCCTTTAAATATAAAGAACAAATAATGTGCAAAAGCTCATTCCTTTAAATATAAAGAACAAGTAAGCAAACCATGCAATGTAACGCATACTGTTCCAAATTCTGTATACTCACAGTATGCTAAGGGAAAAAGGCATGCCTACTAAGCAAAAAGGAGAAACCATATAAAACTCTGATGCAAAGACACTGGACACTGGACACCACAGCAAAGAGTTGACAGAACGCAAACCTCTTCAGAACTCCCATGTGTTGTGATGTAGCCACTCTGGACCAAAAGCTTTAGAGAAGTGAGATTAAGAAAGCAAGGTTTCTTGAGGTCATTAAAAATCATAATTTATAGTCTGGGACTGGTATAGATTCTGGAAGCTTACAGATGATGAAGTTTATTAAACAAAAGTGCTGGCCCCCAGATTTGCAAGGAAACTAGATTTGATCCTTAATGCTGGCACTATGGAAACAGGAAGTCTCAGCATTAAACAAAGTGAAGTTCAATACTATGAGACATATTCTATTTATCATCTTTCATAGGCTTTTTACACCACATATTAACATAGATTTTTTTATACTACATATTAACATTTTTGTATTATAGGCACATTTGAAGTTTTGCCGAAGTCTATGATTAACAAATCTACTCCAGATAATTAATACTGAAATACTCCTTACGTGTTAAAGCAAGTAACTACATATTGTATAACGTCAGTAATATTATCAAATATTATGAAGAGCTAGGTAATTTATTCTGCCTTTTCAAAAATGGTAAATATAGCTAAGAGTTAATTCTCAGACAACTTTATGAAGTAGGTGTGTTGTTATTAGCCTAAGTTCAGAGAAGGTAAGTAAACTGCCAATATAATACAACTTATTAATAGTAAAACTAGGATTTGAAATCAGGCAGTTTGCCTTCATTCTGTACTTTTAACAACTGCACTCTACTGTCTATCGTGTTATCTATTTAGAGTGTATTGCAAACTTGAAATGATATTTTACCTAAGTTCAAAACAAATTAAGGATAGCACTTCTACCAAAATGACATAAATAAAGGTACAGTATACTAACTGTATGCTTTTCTCCATAATAGCAAATCCCCTGCTTAGGTCAGGATAGCATAGCTGCTTAAGAAAAATGAATTAGGAATTGAATACTTCGAAGCCAAAGATTGTAAACATGTACTAAAATATTTTGTGTAAAAGCCACATTCTCAATCTCAGTGTATGGTAATTAGTTCGGGTTCTTGATACTTGTAACTACCCAAAAGAGAGTTGTGTAAACCTAATCTTTGATCTTTGGTCCCACAAAATCACTAAGCAAAAACTTGAAAACTATCTCATTGAGGGACCAACATTTTGCTTCTCTGGGCACTTATGAGCAAATATTAATTTCACTTTATGGTATGAACCCTTTAAATGTTGTATGAGATTTAAATCAATTCCAGTAAAGCAATTTCCTTGAAAACACATTGCCTATGTTAATGACCTGGTGTCTCGAGGTGCCTTCTATGAGGATTGAAAGAAATAATAATAGTAGAAAACTGAAAGAACAGAGACACTCACCCTAGTTTTGGCATCAATCTGACCGCCTCGATCCAGTAAGAGTTTCACCATGTTTGTATTTCCCCTTTTGGAAGCCACATGCAGAGGAGTGATTCCATTCTATACCACAGAAAGACCAAACAAGAGCTGTTGGGTATGACAGGGCATGATGGCGATGTCTTTGTGTTAAAGACCACAAAGGAGGTTGTGATCTATGCGGTAATTTGATCCACAATTTCTACTCTTTCTATGTCTTTGATTTTTAAGGAACAAAAATCACACAAACCACAAAACAATATAGTTAGAGAATGAAAAATGGAATGAAACTGCATAACTAAGTTAGTCAATAACTACAAAATATGTATAGAATGTACAAGTTACAGTCAAGAGGCAAAGGGACCACTTTAGTGTAATACGAACAAAAATTTAAAATTTACCTAAGATAGGGCCCTAGTGTAAAGTCTTTCTTTCTGTAATATCCATGCACTTAAAGAGTCTGGAATCTTAAGTTTTATGATGCTTAAAAATAGAATACAAATATTTATATTAATATTCAATATAAAAATGATTCTTAAAAACATTTCCTTCAAGTTGGGCATGGTGGCTCATGCCTGTAATTCCAGCACTTTGGGAAGTTGAGGTGGGAGGATTCCTTGAAGCCAGGAGTTCAAGACCAGCCTGGGCTACATAGTAAGACCTCATCACCACAAAAAATTTTAAAAAATTGGCCAGGCATGGTAGTGTGTGCCTATAGTCCTAGCTACTCAGGAGGCTGAGTCAGGAGGATTGCTTGAGCCCACGAGTTCAGGGCTTCAGTGAGCCATGATCGTGCCCCTGCACTACACCCTAGGCAACAGATCCAGACCCTGTCTCTAAACAGCAACAACAACAAACAAACATCTCCTTCAGAATAATTCAGTAAGAAAAACAGCTTGAAAATGCAGTTTCACTGCACATGACTTCTTAGTACAAAAACATTACACATATAAATTATATTTATTTATTTTATTGGCTATCACTTGTCATCATTATGGCAAGGATATGTACATGTTTTTTTTGTGTTGTAATTTTTGAATATTCATATTCTGCATTAACTGTATATTAAGTATACTGATATATACCACTATTATGTAAGTGAATTCTTTCTAATAAAAGCATACCATGAAACATGTAACAATGTGACACCTTTTATGTATTTTAGTAAGACTTCATGGGAACAAATTCTCAATTCATTAAAAACAATTCCTTATCAAATTGTGTGCCCCACAGTCATCATAAGACATTCTACTTATATATTTTATAGTTAACATTTTAACAGTTTATTTATTTATTGACATGACTTATCAGGATTCACAGCATGATCATTAAATATAACTATTCATACTGGTCAGAATTAATGTCCTGTTTAACTATTGGAAATGATTTGTGCATGAATTTACAACATTCTTATTTTCTGCTTAAGCCAAGATGACTTCTTGTGATTTAAAGAAAGAAAATGAAAAATCTAATATCTCCAGCACAGACCCAGGTAAGGAAAAAGAAATAAAATCTTTAAGACAGCCATTGGTGTTCCTTTTTACTTTCTTAAGGTGCTTATTTACTGCTATCTAGAATGAGAAACTATTTTAATCCATACCCTGGCTGTGAAGTCCACAGCAGCTCCCCGGTTTAGAAGAAGAGTTGCCACATTGACATTTCCATAATGTGCAGCTATGTGCAAAGGGGTAAAACCACTCTATGAAAGCAAAGATATGATAGTCAGTATAGCGCTTCACTTTACTATGTTGCAGCCATTGTATTAGTGAAGAAAGTCACATGGTAACGGTCTACCTAACATATAAGCAATAATAAATGCTTTAGTAAGATCCTAAATCTTAACGTTATAAGGTGGTACATAACTAAACATATAAAAAGGTAAATAAATATTCTACATTTATTGGCATAATATTCATGGCATATTTTTAATTATCTTAAATATTTATTCATGAGATTTGTTGTTTATACAAAACAATGTTTCTTAAGTTGGTCTTGCATATTAAAGAAAATCAGAATATGATTAAACAACATAAAGTTTCAGCCATAGGATTAACATATCAATGAACTTGGTTAATATCTTTTCAGAGAAGATTCAAAACCAGTGTTTTTGTTTTACTTTTGTTTTAAAAAAGCTGTATTGGTTGGCATTATAATTTTGGAAGCATGAAAGTATGTTGAAAAATTCTTACAAAGGACATAGAATTTGTTCCACATCATTTACACTGTCATGATATTCCTATACACTTTTACAACTGTGTAGCAAGATTATGTTGTTATCATGATGAAATAATTAAAAAACAAAAATTAAACAATATACTTGGCATCAATAGGAATATAAAAGGAAGAGAAAAGTTCAGCTCACTCCAATTTTGAATGTTAAACAAATTCTATCAATACAATAAAATGTAGTTTAACCAACCAGGTTAAATCAACTCAATGGGCATTACAGAACTGTTGACTCTCTCAGTCTGAAAATATCAAATGAAAAAAAGATATTTCCTTTTCTTTCTTTTTCTGATGAAAATCTAGTTGAAAATTGTTGCCATTTTCACAATAGAAGCATATTAACTCTTTTCTTATTAAAGTACACAAAGATCTGATAATTTTTCTTACTCTCCATAAGTTTCACTACTTAACAAAAGATTATGGGAAAAATAGAAACTGTTATTTGCTATCACATTCTGCAGATTTTGGGTTACTTGGTATCACTCTCTTTTAGTTGAAATGAATTGTTTACTGTATTGTTTTTAAGAAATATTTTCAAAATTACGACGATTTTTTTCTATTGAGTTGATACATAGGCTTTGGTGACTTTGTTTTAAAAACACCCTAATTAAGCATTCAGATACCTTAGGTAATGAAAATTTGTGCTATTACTATAGCAACATTAACCACAAATAATTTCTCACTTAGAGAAAAGTAAGACACAAAATAAGAACAGTAACTATTAATCAAAATCCCACATCTATGATCAAGATATTTTTATTTTGCATTTACATCATGCCAATATTCATGTCAAAATGGAGGGGGAAATCAGCCCTCAACCTGGCTGTTATTTGATAAAATGTCAAATTTTTATATTTTAGGAAATAATTGACTAAATTTGCTTCATTTTTTATCTTGATATTTCCTGTCACTCAGACATATCCTGAGTGTGTGTCTATTATTGATGTCACAATTTAGTTTCAGAAAAACATACTGAGGCTGGCTGAATCATTTTCAAAGTCTTTAAATATAGTAATATCATTTGCAAAAATAAACTAACTTATTGTCTGATATAGCCTCACTGATCATTCATAATGATACCCAGGCTGTGAATCTTGGATCAGCACAAAACTGGTATCAGCCCTTCAGAGGAACTCTTCCCTGATTAACATGGAAGCAGGAGGCAGAGTTCACATTTCTACAGGATTAGACAAAGGGGTTTCTATTCTTTTTACTCTATTGTCTTCAAGGAAATATTTATAACTCAGTAAAAATTCACCCAAACTTTTGCTTTCACAATGTTTAGAGCCAATACCGCTTTCAAAAATGTATCTTAAATAATCATCAAAAAGCATCTAAGACAGTAAAGGTATTGAAATTAGTTATTAAGATATCAATTTGTATGGTTCTAGTTGTGAACAAGTTCACCAAGCAGTTGGGCTTTCTGTTGTCTCTGACCTAGGTTCCATACAAAGACAGGGAACAAAAGAAATAACACAAATAATTCAAGTATACTCTGTGAGAATGCTCATAAGTCCACAACCTAGTCATCAAATGAGATGATAGTCTAAAGAATCCCCTCAGCAAAACAATAACAGACCTACATAAATAGTCACTTGTTTTTGAGTATAGGTTAATTTGTGTAATATACATCAACAATGTTTGCGTTAGTGTCTCTCTGTAGCAATGGCCAAGGAGAGACTACCAAATACATACATATACAAACACACCATACTGAGAGGCTTCTGAACTTAATGTTCTTATTGATTGAAGTGACTTATTTTGGAACGTGGAAAATATACGATTCTATGACAAGTATTTTAAGACTTAGAAGAAAAAGCAATTGGTCTGCTCTTGATACGTTCAATAATATCATTTATTATATAAAATGTGGTAAAGAAAAAGAGCATACAGGAAAAAAAGGGCAATTGCAATTAGATAAAAAGACAAAACACAGTGGCAGAGAAACCTCCCAAATTTTCACTTCGTAAAACTCTAACCTGAGAATTCTCATTAAGGAAATAAAATCATATCTCTTCTTAACAATAAGTTAATAGTAAAGTTCACTCATTAAAATATACATTAAGAAAGAGTTTCATTTCATTCTCTAATAACTTATTTAAATAGTTTTACTGATAAAATAATGCTTCTATTATATGTTACATTAAATATCTTTGAATTATCAGTTTGCCTTCATTATGGGAAAGGTTTCCAAATTAATTTCCCATTAATGGAACTTGTAATCATTAGTATGAATTAGTGAGCATTTATTCTAATTGGGCAAAAACTAAAAATAAAGACAAGGTAAATTTTGGTATAACCACAATACTGTACCTCAGTTGTCCTATTCACCATCATCTGAAGCAGTGTTGTTTGGGAGAAAGAGGGAAGATATTACACAATGCAAAATTATGGAAACAGTCAATCTGCTCACTGCAATTGGGTATACTGTTCCAACATGCCAAAATGCATTCTACTGAAAGAAGACATCCCCAAGCACTACACAATACAATTTTATCTTTTAAATTCTATTATTTGTGACTAAAAACAGAATAAGAAAGCAGATTTCTAAAAAGCTCAACCTCATCTTTTAAAGAAAATTATCTTGCATTTAATTTTTTTAGATGGTCCCCTTCTTTCTGAAATACCTCTGAAAATCATTTATCTCTTTTTATGACCAGAAATAATTTTGCATTATCACCATGGCCTACTTCTTATCATCCCCCAGGAGAAGTCTGGCAGCCAAAGAGTTCCTTTCCACAAACGTGTTCAGCTTTTACCTTGGATTGTACGTCAGCATTGTGGTCATTCTGAAGAAGGAGTGCGGCAGATTTGGTGTCGTCTTTCCTAGCGGCAATATGTAGAGCTGGCAGTCTCACTTTCCCTTTGGTGTCATTTTCCAAGAGGATGGCCACTGCCTGGTTGTGTCCTTGCTGGAGTGCCACAGCTAGAGGAGTAAAGCCATCCTGGTAAAACAAAAGGTAAAAATTGTCTGTTAACATCTTTAGATGCTAGAGATTTAGTTCTAAGCAATGATGGCTCTAATCTTTAATGATCAAGATTGACAACCAAATATTACTGGGAAGATTAGAAGCACATTATAACCAGTTATCCATCATATAATGGAATACTTTAATCAAACGGCTTTCCTAATTTCTATTCTATACATTTTGAAAAACATCTGCATTCTTTAACAAACATACTACATACAGGATGTGCTCAAATGTATGGTTGCAATCGAAAAGTAAAAGTGAGAACCAATCCTAAATAATGCCTCTGTAGGTAAAGCAGAAAAGTGGGAAGGGTAGAAAGAATGGAGACCAAGTCTGACTGGGAATCGAAGATATGGTAACTGAGACAGGGAAATAAAATATATGATTGACTATGCAGGTTTCTAAATATCACTGAATGGTTAAGGAAAACAGCCCCTAGGGATGGAGTTGTCTATTACCAATTCAATTTTGGAAGTTTAGGGAACAATACGATCTAAAACTCTGGCAAATTAGGCTAATTTATTAATTATGCCCTTAATAGTTGAATTTTATATTATTTTGACCATTTGGATATAAAATTACATGTGTTAGGTAATGTAGAAAAACCTGTTTTCAATTCTAAACTTTAGAAGACAGTAAAAAACCAGTAGCATGGGAAGTGAAAAGGTAGAGAAAACTTAGTAGTAGATAATCATGCTAGAAAACTTGGAAAGCTATATTTTTCTCTCTAGAAACAAGTATTCAGTTCTTGGAAAGGTGACAAGTACATCAAAAAATAATATATTTTAGGCTCTACTTATGTGAAAGGAAAAAAAACACCCTTAATCCACAAAAGTTGGAAAACAAGTCTCAAAGTTAGAAGTTTCCATTCACATAGAGAAAAAAATATGGACAATAGAATGGTAAATTGAAAGACTGCCTTCTAGACTGGGCAGGGTGGCTCACATCTGTAATCCCAGCACTTTGGGAGGCCGAGGCGGGTAGATCACCTGAGGACAGGAGTTTGAGACGAGTCTGGCCAACATGGTGAAAAACTATCTCCTCTAAAAATACTAAAAAAAAAATTAGCTGGATGTGGTGGTGTGCACCTGTAATCCAAGCTACTTGGGAAGTTGAGGCAGGAGAATCGCTTGAACCCAAGACTGCACTCTAGAGACAATGGTAATTTATCACAATTTAACTACTCAATTTTTTTCCAATAATAATTGTTTTAAAGTCACTGCAGACTTTTGAGGAAAAAATAGTTTTCCTCAAGTGTATTGTATCATGTATGCAGTACCAGCAATAATAATTTTTTAATAACTGATTTTTAAACATAACACATTAACAGAATGGAAGAGTAAAGCATGTAGTATCTTAAGATAAAAAATAGTAACCTGAATTTAGAACTTTGTTTGGCACATATTAAATGCTCTGTGAATGAGAAAAGCACAGACTCATTATCACATACATATTTAAATGTATTATCTCCTGCAGCACTGTGATAGTTTATATTAAAAGAGTGTGAAATTAATTTTTTTCTTGGAGATGAGGCATTTGCTCACAGAACAGAATGTCGTTAAAAAGTTTTTGGCCTTTAATTTTGGTAACATTTAGGAAGAAGGAAGAGAGTAGAGAAATACTGTGTAAAAATGGTACTGGAGAGATTGAGAACTCCCTTCTGAGAATTTGACCTTGGATCTTTACCATGTAGATTTCACTCTAATCTATACTGCATGGGATAAGGCTAAACATTTGGAATGATTTGTTCAAGTACCTTAACTAAAAGGAAATCCACATGAAAGTTCAGTAGCTTCATTTTTCATCATTCATTTACCAATGCTAAGTGCCATAATTATGGGAAATTTAAATATTTCTTCTCAGTCATGAATTTCATTGCCACATTGAATAATCTGACAATTATTTGATTTTAAAATGGTCATAGTATCTTGATTAGTTAATAATTTTTGCAAATTAGCTACCAACCAGCTCAGGGCAAGTCCCTTCTTTAGGTATATTCACACATGTTCACATAAGACTGTGGATGGTATTTAGCAATATAACACAGGATATCAAATGGCAATCAACCATACAGCCCTGTAAAAACATTATTTTTTTTTTTTTACAGAATGATACACTAAAAAGGAATACGTAAAGATTTGTCCATGTGTGTTTTTGATAACCATTAGTGCAGACAATGAGACTTTAATCAATTACGCTTATATATTCAATAGGAAAAAAGTAATTTTAGCTATTTAAATGAGTTTCTAAAATGAAACAAATAATAGATATATAATGTGTCTAAGCTAGAATTTAAAACCTCACATGATTTATTTGCAAAAGACACATTTCCTTGTGGAATCAGAGAGGATTTTAACTTTCTGGGGATCAAAGTATAACATAGCCCCTACTGATGCAATGTACATAAAAGGGTATTTTTGGAACCAAACGGGAAATGCTACAGAGGTCTAGACCAAAGGAGCCAGAAGCCATGAGACAGCTGGGAATGCCAGCAAGCTCAGTTTTCCTAAATCCTACACTAGAAACCTTAAGTCTATTTGGTAAATAGAAGCACTCTAGAGTAAAGGTTTCATCTGGTAAATGATTCTGCTTTCAAGAAAATCAAAATCAAATAAAACAAACATAGATGTCCTTATTTTGATATATTTCTCAGAGGCCCAGATGCAAAGATGCAGACTCATATTGTTACCTGAGCTCTGCCCGAAGATATTCACATGGTACTCATGGACAGAACTAGTGTCTGAGGAAAGAAAAGGTCCCAAATCATAAAAATCACACTATATCCAAGTGGCAAGAGTATAAAATCTGTGTGTATTGAATAGAGAACTCAAAAACATTTTATACTGGGCAGTTGTGTTTTCCAGTCATAGGTAGGCAACATGGTCTCATTCATAGTGTTTTGTTGGATTTTTTTTAAACTAATGAGAATAAGCTGTCAGAAAGTCGTTGCAATTGGCTCCATAAAAAGTTTTCTCCCAAAGGGACTGGAAAAGGATGTATTATATTTTAATAACCTCTCCTTCTAATGCAGCATAGAAAGGAGTTCATGTCCTAAAGACTTAATTGTCCAGAAAGGAAGCCACATTAAAAATTATCTTAAGATAGTTTCTGGGTAACAAGAATCCATCAGTCTTCTTTCACTTCAGGCCAGGAGTTTTGAAATTTTATCAGTGGGGCCACAAAATATGAAATAGGAAAAGCCAAGCCCATATACTCTGGTTGAAAGAGGTAAAGAGAGACATGTCTCAGGCGAGCTCTCTTCCTCTCCTCTTGCATGTCGCCCACTCCCAACCTTTCAGTGGCCCGAAGCACAAGAGCTTCTGGAGCATCACTTGAAATCACTGCCTCAGACAGCCCTTGAACTTGCTGCTTAATCTGCCTACCTAAGCAAAAATGAGAAGGAAAATACAAAGCAGCTTCTACTTACTAGGTGAAATAATAAGTGCTTAGGAAAGAAAACTGATGTTCTCAAGGCCCCTGCCCACTTTCACTTATTATGTCCAGATGTCCTGGAACTCTTTAAAACTAGACTGATTTTGAACATTCTATTCAATTGTTGCCATAATCAGTCACACATCCATGTTTCATAATTTGTGCTTCAATAAGGTACAGGGTGTTTTTTAGTGACATTCCTCCTGAAACTGTGCTAACACAGATACTTATGAATTATTTCTGATGGTAAAAAAGTTGTTCCATTAAGGAATTATATTAGATCCTAACAAAGATAAAATATTGGTGCAAAGAGATGAGTAGAATTTACTGTAATTGAATTTTAGAATGGTACAAAGCTCCCAAAAGGCCAGAGGATGGAAAACTGACGGAGGCATGATTTTATGTAAGAATAAATAGACACGAATCCAAAATGAAGGCATAAACTGATGGAACTCCGTGCACAAGCCTGAGTCATTTGTTCATAGCCACTGTTGCAATTATAATAGTAACATGAACGTTCCTAGCATATTTTAGACAAAGTAATGGAGATTATTTGCAGACTGATATAAAGAATATGGACATTAAGATCAAAGAATTCAAGACTTTAGGGCTGACAGTCTTACCTCTGTAGCAGTGCTCTGATTAGCTCCATTTTCCAACAAATATTTCACAACATCAATGTGATTCTCTTGGGCAGCCATGTATAAAGGAGTAAAGCCATTCTGAGGACAAGAAATAAAAAAAAGACATCTTCAATCATTTGTATAAGAGAGAACACGAGGAAGTAAACCTTCGACTTAGTGAAGCTATATAAAATACTTTTATACTGAAGAAATTATACACATTTTTACCATTATAAAGCTAGACAAAATTGCAGTGAACCAAGCCCCATACACAATTCCTAAAGCAATGAGGAAAAAGAGCTAAGGAAGATAGTTTCCCTCATTTCCTGTCTTCATTTCAGTACCACAGAGTCACATTTCTCATCTGCTAACACTGTGTTAAAGATACTTGGTGGCCAGGCGCAGTGGCTCACGCCTATACTAGAACTTTGGGAGGCCAAGGCGAGTGGATCATGAGGTCAGGAGCTTGAGACCAGTCTGGACAGTGATGAAACTCCATCTCTACTAAAACTACAAAAATTTGCCGGGCATGGTGGCACATGCCTGTAATCCCAGCTACTGGGGAGGCTGAGGCAGGAGAATCACTTGAATTCGGGAAGCGGAGGTTGCAGTGAGCCGAGATCTGGCCATTGCACTCCAGCCTGGGTGACAGAGTGAGACTCTGTCTCAAAAAAAAAAAAAAAAGAAAAAAAAAGAAAAGTAGATATCTTAGTGTCTTTAGCATATTTGGTATCTCAGTGTCTATATAATTCTATAACATACGGAATTATCACTATAGCATCTTTATAAAATAGCATCTATATAATATCTTCTGTATGTATCATTCATAAACTATTTAAACAGACCATGGTTATCTTGAATATACACAGTTTAGTTAGCACCCTTAGTGAAGTAATTTACTACTCACAGCAGAATAGTCTAGGAGAGACTACAAATTTGATTGAGAATTTAAAAGTCTAAATTTCAGTGTTCTGATTGAGGCAGCATGGTTTATATGGAACATCTTTATATTGCTTTTTAAAGCCATTTTGAAATTCTATCACTCATTCTCACATTCACTTTCTCAGTTATTTACTAAAATACAGCCACTGGTGGCTAGACTATCGCTGAGCTACAGTGATAAATAAGACAGACACATGCACCCTAATGGAGCACACACTATGGTAATGTTATAACATTATTATAATCAGAGATTTTTAAAATTACTGAAATTGTATAATATGAGTTTTAAATCAAATTTAAATGGGCAAATTTTCTTTTCATCAGAGCCTTAGGAATATGTAATGTCTCATTAAGGAAAAAACCTACAAAACCTTCTTGTGAAATAATTCATAAGCTCTCCAAACTATGTAGACCTTAAACATAGATGATTCCTTAAACTTTCCATGCATTAACAAGAATAAGTAAAAACACAGATCAGAGTTCAGAGATTTTTAAAAACTTAAGAGAATTTTTTTTTTCTTTTGAGATGGAGTCTCGCTCTGTTGCCCAGGTTGGAGTGCAGTGGCACAATCTTGGCTCACTGCAACCTCTGCCTCCCAGGTTCAAGCAATTCTCCTACCTCAGGCTCCCGAGTAGGTGGGACTACAGGGAGAAAACATTTTTTAAAGATACTTTTTTGGAAATATAAGTTCTTCTGTATATATAGTATAAGTGTGGAAACATTATTTAAAATGGCCAACATCCAGCAAAATATAAAGAGAGAGTACACAAGTAGACCAAGTAGAGTGATTTTAAATTAGATTACAGAAGAAACTCTTCAGGCTTCAAATGTTGGAGGAAAATTTAGAACTAAAAAAGAAATATAAGAGGAATGAATTAACAATGTTGTAGGATTCAGGAATAACTTGCTAGCTGGATAGCATATTTAAAAAAACACACACACAGCAAGCAGGTGAAATCTTGTGTATTTTAAGAACACTGAAGAGGTGGCGGAAGGATAGAATTAGAGATTCAAAGGAAAGGAAAGCCAGTGAGGATGGTAAAAACAATGAGTGGGTGTGGAATGGGGCTCTTTCATGACGAGCAAAAGGCAGGGATGAAAATAAAAGAAAAAGAACTTTTGATACAGTAAAACAATTTGCTAACATGCTTTTCTCTGACAGTCTTATAGATAGATCAAGAGAAAGGGAATCAGGCAGAGGTTGCCAGATCAGCAGGAGAAAGGAGATGTACTATGCTGAGGTCCCTGCCTGAGAAAGGACCCTGCCCTGGGTTCTGAGCTTTAGAGGGACCTCCTCCGGCTGGGCAGGGCAAAGAATCCTGAGGGCCAAGAGGACATGCTCACCATGACCCTACAGCTCCTCCATGACCAGAATTCCTGCCTAGGTGTTCCCAAGTGTGGCTCCAATGCTCACTCACATTTCTTCCTTGGGTTCATCCTCTCAAGTGTCCATTGGTATGCACACCCTTTGGGAGACAGAATGATGGCCCCCACATATGTCCACATCCTAATCTCTGGAACCTGTAAATGCTACCTAATTTGGCAAAAGGAACTCTGTAGATGTGATTAAGTTAAAAACAATTGAGATGAGGAGATTATCCTGGATTATCTAAACAGGCTCTGTGTACTCACTGGGGTCTTTACAAGAGCAAGACAGAAGGCAAAGAGGAGAGAAGATGCTACGCTGCTGGCTTTGGAGATGGAGGACGGGACCATGATCACAGAACGCAGTATTAGAAGTTGAGAAAGGCAAGGAAAGGGATTTTCACCTAGAGCCTCCGGAAGGAAACAGCAATGCCAACATCTTGGTTGCAAAACTAAACATCGTATGTTCTCACTCTTAGGGGGAGCTAAGCTATGAGGATACAAAGGCATAAGAATGATACAATGGACTTTGGGGACTTGGAGGGGAAAGGTGGGAAGGAGCTGAGTGATAAAGACTACAGATTGAGCACAGTGTATACTGCCCGGGTGATGGTTGTACCAAAATCTCAGAAATCACCACCAAAGAACTTATTCATGCAACCAAACACCACCTGTTCCCTTAAAACCTATAGAAATAAAAAATTAAAACAAAACAAAAAAATCAAGGAAGAAAGTATCAAGTATATGGGGAGAAAGATAGTGACAGACGAACATTTAAAATCTTGGTTAGAGCATTTCACAAACATCACTTGTGTGCCTTGTGCCATGACCTTGGTGTGCTACAGCTTCCAGCAAAGTAGGGAAGCAAATGTGAAGAATGATAAAAATGAAAAGTGACTTATTGAGCTTCTGTTATATCCACTGTAAAAAATGCTTTGAATAGATCTCCTTAAATTATAGTGTCCTGGTTTGTCTGGGACAGCTCAAGTTTATCATAGTATCCTGGAGTAATTATTAATAGTGCCTCAGTTTGGATGATAAATGACCTAATACTATATCTAATACATAGAACAGTGCTGCAACATTTGTACTAGTATTCTCATTCAAACTGAAGCAGCTGAGGCTCAAATACCTACATAATTAAGCCGAAGTCTTGCAGCTAATAAGTGACCTGGAAGTGACAGGCAGGTGGCAGTTTCTGAATAGTCTCTTCCCTGTAATGGTATTAGAACTCCATCCTGTGGATGAATTTTCCTCAGTCTGGCTGTGTGATAGAATCTCCTGTAAACGTTTTTAAGAGTGCCTAGGTACCACTCTACCACCTCGTCCCTGCTGAATTGGAGTCTCCATGTGCAAAGCCCAAAAATGAGCATTTTTTTAAAAGCACATTTTTTAAATTGCCTTGAAAAGTTTGTTACAGGTGATGCAGAAAAGTTGAATGTATTTTGGTAGGGAGCACCATAATCACATTTGCATTTTAGAAAGTTCATTCTGGTGAAAACAGATGCCTTGGCTTGGGGTGCTAGGACACAAGAAAGGAAGTAGGTTGTCAATCAGCTCCTGCAGTACCCTTTGCAGTAGTGTACATAAAAGATGAAGGAAGCTTTGGTTCAGAGATCGGAGAGTTGTTTATTGTTACGAAACATGTGAAGTAAGGCAATAAAGATTTACTACAGGTCCTTAAAATGTGGAAATTATTCTCTCTTAACTTACTGGTATTTAACAACAAAAATAGCCCACTGGAGAATGTAAAACATGCCTTTGGATAATTAGGACAAGGCATGGCAGCACTTTAACACCACTCTACTGTAAACTTTATAGGAAAGCATTTATCATCACATATTAATAGCTTAAGAACATAACTGTATTGGCTTCTGCGTACATGCATCCAGGTGCTTTCCAACACCTTTTGTCTCTGTGTGTTTCTAAAAAGTCTCTGGTTGCATGTAGGTACGAAAATAGATGCATTTTCTCCTTTTTGGTATAAAAAAGTCAAAGATATCCACAGCCCAGGCTGATACTGGGTGGGTGAAATAAGAACAGCATTACCAGTTGTTATAGTAGTTCTGGTGTGACCAACAGGTGCCCCTAGCAACTGGTTATTAAATATTTTGAACATTACCCCTGTGTATAGAAATCTATGAATTATTTGTTATTCATTATATTTACTCAACAAAAATATGTTTGGTGACTTTTCACTGCTATGCATTGTGTTCAGTTTTAACGATTCAGAGACAAAATGCAAGGTTCCTGTTTTAAGAATTCACAGCGCAGAGACTGAGATGGACAAGTTAGCAAAATTCTGTATTACAGTTTAGTGAACACCTATATAATTAGTTTTTTAAAAAATCATGTGTTGGATATAAAGAGAACACAGATGAAAGACCCATAATTCAACTAGATAAGGAAATGATATCTGAAAGAAGTTACTGGGAGTAACAGCTAGAAGACACTGAAGACACAGAAGCAGGAAAGGTATTTGAAAGAGAAGGAACACCGTGCAATGAGACAACACAGGATATACGGAAACTTACAAATAATGCATTGTTACTGGGGAGAAGCAGCTGAGATAGGCAGGGATCAGTCCCTGTTTGCCTTGCTGAGGAGTCTGAATTTTATTCTGAAAGCCTTGCTAGGAATTGTTTTTTGTACAGGGGTTTGACACAGATACATTTGCTTTTTAAAGATATTACTTGGTGAGGAATGGGGAGGATATATTGGAAAATGGAGGCCAGACTATAGTCCAGAAGAGTGGAAAGCAGGTTTTTGTTAAATCCCAAGAAGTGAGAAT